AATACCCGTAGAAGAAACCCAATGAACACAGATAACATAAACAGTGCTCAGGCTGTCTACAGTCTGACTGCAAACACTATATTTAAATAGGGACACTCCAGCTTAAGGCAGTGACCCTATAAGTGTGACATGAAAGTTCTGATTGGCAGCTTCTGCCTGAATCATCAGTCATTACACATAAGCAGCCCAGGAGGCGAGCCAAATTCTTTCTTATATACTGTAAAAAGTTAATAATCCACATTTTATTATTTTATATATTTTTAGGCATTCTCAGGAGCTTGAAGACTGTGTGAGGTCAGGCAGAAGATGACCTCTGACCCCTGACTCACAAGCTAAGATCTAGACAATATATAAAGCTAAATAAAGGGGTAAATAACTATTTAAAGGGAAAACCTTATATTATGATACATTAAGATTGACTATTCTTGCATAGGCTCAGCTCCTATGATTGACAAAGGCTCATCATTGTTTTGGAGTTGTGTTTTAGTCATTAGGGATACTTTTTTACACGTACTTATAGTTTTTATCATTGAGGTCCCATTCTACCTGGTTTCCCATAGACAAATACTACTGAGAGAGAAGGGTGGATGCTGTAGAAATACATTGTAGTCAATTTTCAGAAATGAGTAAAGTAGACAGCAGCCAATGGCGTATGAGCAGAAGCGGCATCAGGTTTTATGCACCCTGTTCATTCTGACTGCTTCTCTATGAGGCCACTTCAGCAGACTAAAACAAGTTTCTGCCATGATTCGTATGTGTTCGCTTTTTCTCCTGGTTTTATACTGACAATCATTATGAGACAAAATCATAGTATAAATTATTGTATTCAGCCTATCACAACCAACTCAAGAGATGAAAACAAGTGTCTTCTGACAGTATAATTGAAGTACTGTAAGTCAAGAGGCTGATAATTCCCTGGCGCTGTGTGGGATATCTCTTCCTATAAATACATTTCCTGGGAGCAGGATGTGACTACTTCACTGAACTATGTTTAGAAGGCCATCACTAAGGCCCAGATCCTCCGAGGGAAACATTACTTCATATGCCAGTGTTGAAGCTACTAATGCATTAAAGGGGTACTTCCTTGAAGCATGGTGCCTGGGTGAGAAGGCTCTTATGGAAACCTTCATTTTCTGAGCCCCAGACAACAGAGCAATTCCAGGACAATGCAAATTTACCTGTTCACCTCTACTGTGAATAACTTTGCTGAAACCAGTATGTGGCCTTGGAGCCTGAGATCAGCAGCTTTCATTTGAGGCTTCACACACACACACACACACTCACACACACATATACAGTATACTGTATATTATGGTATATTGGCCAAAACCACAATTTGAGTTCATGACTGTCCTGTTTGTCAAAGCTAATACAGTACTGTAATCTAAAATAACTTGAGCTAATGGGGTTAATAAAATAGGGTAACAACTTAAAATATGTATTAATATCAATATGACCATAAGATTAAAATTCCATAAAACAATCCTAAGAACACAAGGAGAAAAGCTGCTGAACTCAGGCTAAAAGCCTCCAGAATAGTAGTATAACGAAATGTACAGCGCTAAATGTCCTTCAGGAAGTTCAATACAAATTGCAATTAAGGATCCAAGTGATGTTACCTCCGTGTCAAGCAAATCATGAAAGGGTGTGTGTATATCATAAATGTGTAACAAATTATAAATTGTCAACCGTGGTAATAAAAACGTGTTATAAATTAGCTCATTATTTAAATAAATAAAATTCTGCAAACACCATGTGTCATATATGTGAAAAATGAAAATAAAAATAAAATTTTATCTCATTGTGAGCTAGTCCGTGTTGTTTTCTTCCGAAAGATATTAAAGATGCAAACTTATATCAATTTTTATGAGAAATGTACTTAAAGTTTTTTTTACTTTCTCAGAGTTCTCGGATCTTCAGCACAAGAACACCCCCCCAAAAAAATGATGAAAAATAAAGATAGAAACACTCGTAAAAGTATATTCTTAGTATGTAAAGTATGTTCTTTAAGGTTGGAGGACAAAAATCAATGTGAGCTCCTCCACCTAAAATAATTGTCAGAGTGCTTTGCAGTAGGAATTAATCCATCTGGAATAGATTATCAAACAGTTTTTTATTTTTGAAGTTTGCTAAATTGGCAAACCCAATTTAAGTCTATGGGACCAATCTTATTAACCATTCCATTTACAGGGCTAATAAACAAGCTATTGTAAATGTTGGAACTTCTTGCACAGCCTCACAGAGAAACACAAGCACACAGTCAGATATGCATGCTGCTCATGGCTTGAAAAACAGGAAGGAAGCCACAGCTTTATTCTCTACCTTATTACAATACAACAGAGAATCTACCATAGATACTCTATAACAGAACTTATAAACACTGTCATTTAGTGACCGAAATGGTATACTGCAGTAGTTGATGCAATAGACACAATGTGTATTCTAACAGTAAACAAGGAATGGGAAGTCAGGCACTGATATAGGGGGCATCTACCAATGCCAAAATGTAAAAAAACAAAATAAGAAAATGTAAAAATAAATAGTATCTCCCGTACACAGAACTGTCAGCTCTCCCTCCAAAACACACTGCAAATGTGGCTGTTGTGAGCCCACCCTTTTAAAGGAAGTGTGTTTGGTCATCCATTCCTTAAAATTATTGGCTCTTTCTGACCTAGGGCAAAGCTTATGCACTGCATTAGAGGTTGTTCATTATATCTGGCAGTGAACCTTCAAAGTGTTTGGTCAAAAGTTAAGGATTTGTGAACTGCACTTTTCTGGACCTCAAGGGGTGGTCAATGATGCTGGAGACACTTTAAGTAGGGTGCATAACTCCCTATCTTTCTTTCTCAGGAGAGACTGTGTGTTGCCTTCTCTGGCAATCCAGTGTAGATTTGACACCTTAACCCAAAGCACAACAATGCTCAACATGAAGATTCCTACTGCATTAAGTAGTGCCCATTCACATCTAAAGTTTGTGCTACCGCTTCTTGTGTGAAATAGTACAATGAGTATTTGTTTGGGCCTATCGGAACAGCTGAGAACATGCAACACAAGTGGTTTAGTGATGATCCTCCTAGCAACCTCAGGCCTGTGAACAATATGGAGAATTTAGGAGTTGTCATGGTGGATGTGGAAACTTTCCTCTGCATGGTGAGGGTCCACAACAACCTCTATGGCCCCAGTAATGCCCATTACAAGAACTCTGGCAAGCAGCAGAGGACCTGGGACGAAACTGGGTGTGAAGTCCCAGAGTGGGAGCTCCAATGGAACGAGACACCAAAACACCACACAAAAAAAACAGGAAATGGATACAAGGAGCACAATGATATATGAAGTCAAGCATGCTACTGCTTTCCATTGGCCAAAACAAAAATGCCTGATGCTTAAAAACACATGAAGAACGTTTAAGCATAAATGGGGGCTAACAGAGTTGAAACACATGTTCAGGTAGCTGGTGTCTTTGCATATATATATATTCATCACAGGGCTGGCTGTTCTACGTCTCGATGACCCGCATGGAAGTTTTACGTTCTATTAATGAATCAGAATTTCAGGGAATTTTTCCCCAAGTACAGTAGAATCATTTCTTGCCATCTGTTCAGTGAATATTCATACAATATTCTGGTAACAAAAATAAAATCCATGAAGTAGATCTTAACAGTAAAGGGGGGCATTTTGTCTTTAATAAATAAGCAGGACTTCTAGCAAGACCCATAAACCATGTTTACTCTTTATGCTGAAGGAGCTTTTTACGTCTGGCTTGTAGTAATGTGCGATGTATCATTTATTCATCGAACATACAAAGCCGTAAACTCCAAGTTCCCTAATTGAAAGTTAATGTAGATATTGATCGATACGTTTTAAAAGCTATCTATAATTCCAGTGCACTAATAGCAGCAGCGGACACGCCGCGCTAACATGGGACCAGCAGGGCCGCGGCGGGTGAGTCATGTGACCCGGCCACGTCAATGCCCTTGCGTCTTTCGTTTTTCTGGCTTACGTAAATTCTGCCCTTGAGAAGGGGGGAGGGGGTCTGTGTTTATAAACTAAACTTGTGAGTGGTAGGGGCTTAACAGATTCAGGAAGGAGCTTAAGGTGGATGTAAAATGTAACATTGAACTGTTCTTACGTTTTACCTGTTGGTCTGTTAAATATGCCAATAAAAGTGTTCTGTTATATCAAAAAATGCCCTTTGATGCTGCCAGAAATCTAGTGAGCTAAGTTCTCTCTGCTTACTATTTTTTGTTTTCTTCTCTGTAGAATACAGACCACCTTCCCCATGTTTTAGAGATAAGGAGAGGGTGTTTTGAAGTCCTATCTCCCTTCCTGTCTAGTGTGACAACACTGCTTCATCACAGATACAGTACAATGAGTGAGTCACTCTAGCACTGGAAGTTATCAACCCAGAGCAGGAAGTGCATCTGTGGCAGAATAACCAGCTAGAAAAAAATAAATAAAAAATGCAAATGCAGACACTACATCTAAGGACTGGTAAGCTTCAATATATAATAATCATCATCATCATTATAACAATAATTATTATTAGCAGTATTATTATTATTATTATTATTATTATTATTTTGGATTTAGATACATCTTAATTTTTTGATAAAGTGAGGAAGAGTAGGAACTTTTGAAGCTTTTATTTCCTGATTGTGACCCAACTGAGAACATCCCCACCCATTGTCCTATCCCTGTGACACCTATACAAAAAAAAGGAGGGGGGTGTTGGCATTACTGAGATATAAGGACACAGATTAAAATAACAACATGGTTAAAAGTTCTAACCCTTCCTCTAACTGCTAAAAATGTATTGATGTCTATGTCCCGCTGGGGGTCCCCGGTTCAAATCCTGGTCAGGACACTATCTACATGGAGTTTGCATGTTTCCTCTGTGCTTGTGCGGGTTTCTTCCGGGTACTTTACTTTCCTCTCACACTCCAAAGACATGCTGGAAGGTTAATGAAGTACTAACTGTATTTTTTCTTTTCATTTTTCAGCCCTGAAGAAGGATGAGAACACCATCGACGAGGTAAGTCATTGCTTTTATATGCTTGTGATGACTCTTTTTACCTGTCTGTTGTAATGCTATTGTAATCAGAGGTGCTGATGACTCCTGATGATGGAAAGTTAGTCTTTTATTGCTGGTTGCCGTTGTTGTCCTGTCCTCCTTAAAGCTGGGTTCACACCTAGGCATATCGCATATCGAATATGCGCGTTTGTCGCACATTTCGTGCCGCACGTTTTTTACCGCGATTCGCGGTAAAAAAAACATGTGACGAACGCGCGTTTCCGAGGGCTACCTGGCTGTATCCCAATGGATACGCGCGGCAAATACGCCCCAAAGAAGCTCCTGTACTTCTTTGGGCGTAGGGACGTGCTGTAAAACGCCCATTTGTGAACCAGGCCTAAAACGCTTGTCACTTGCCATTTTGTAAACCTCAGGAGTGAGCTCGTTGTGTAGGGGAGGTGCGTTGCGCCTTGTGTAGAGGAGGTGTGGTGCTCATTGTGTAGAGGAGGTGTGGTGCTAGAGGAGGTGTGGTGCTCATTGTGTAGAGGAGATGTGGTGCTCGTTGTGTAGAAGAGTTGCAATGCTCATTGTGTAGGTGACATGAAATGCTCATTGTGTAGAGGAGGTGTGATGCTCATTGTTAGAAGAAGTGTGATGCTCGTTGTGTAGAGGAGGTTTGATGCATTGTTTCAGAGCATTGCACTGTTTACTTTTTTCTCTTTTTTTGTTTGGTTTTGTTTATTGACGTGTCACTTCATTCAACTCTATGCATCGTTGCAGTGTGGTAAGATGCAATGCATTGCATAAAAAGGTATGCAAGCCATGCAACCTACCTCAGCGCAGTGGTATGATGTTAATAGGGCACGTAGAAAACAATGGTCTGTGCCCTTGCATTGAGCCTTGTTGAGCAATGTGTTGATCAGTTGTATGAACATGCCCTAATGGACATTTAGTAAGCATTTCCGATGCACTTGGCTCAGCCTAGCCATGTCCCACACCTGGCTTCCAGAGGGCATTCCAAAACCTGGAATGCCTGTGTGCTGGTTCATAGGGGCATATAACTGCTTTCAAAAACCCAACTCTTGCAAGGCAGTTCAGTGACTTTTGCTAAGCATACTGTGCTATCAGTCAATTTGATGCCATGGAGGGGCACCGTGTCTTAGTTTATAGACTGCTCATTAGCTATTTGCTTACTACAAGGAAAGAAGTTAAATGTATTACAGAGAACCTGTTCTTAGATCAGGGCTGGACGTATCCAGCTAGCCAATGCTCCTCAGGGCCTCTTCACACCATAGTGTAAGGTAATTGCCGGATTTCAATAAAGTGGGTGGAGCCGTGCAAATCATTCCCTTCCGATCCATGGCCAACTGTACATCCACAAATCCACTAAACATCCCCTTTAAGCAGTGACAAGCGTCCCTCCTGTCAGGGATGTCATAGCTTAGTTTACTAACACACAGAGGATGTGTGACATCACTGGGAGCAGTGTATGTACGGTGTAATCGCATCCCTCCATCTCCTGTAATAGATCCTCTCCCGCCAGCCAGAAGACCCCCTTGACATACTTTCCCATGACACACATTCCCGGGCTGACTTTCTATTAGTGAGCCGTGACACTGCAAGTCATAAACACAGCTGTGATCACTCGGTAGGGGGTTCCTGTAGGAGCAGCGTTTAGGATCCGGCATGAAATTGCAGTAAAGTTGTTTAGGAAATTACATATTTGCCAATTTTCCCAAATTTCTAGGAGTAGGGTCGGGTTTTTACCAGTACACAGGGTATACAGTACATACCGGTATATATATATTTCCAGTATAGGCCAGCTTATTCTGCAGTAACTTTGTCATTACTTAAGATTGCATAAAACATTTGGGTGGCAAACTTTACTGACTTTTTGTAATGTTGTTTTGCAAAAATTATTTTCTTTTCTTTGTAATTTATAATATTTTTTCATTATTATTATTTTTTTATAATTATTATTATGTATTATTATTATAATACAGGATTTATATAGCGCCAAGAGTCTGCGCAATGCTTTCAAAATTGAAGGGAGACAGTACAGATACAATACAATTTCAATACAGGAGGTAGGAGGGCCCTGCTCGTAAGAGCTTACAATCTAGTAGGAGGGGCAAGTGATACCAAAAGATAATAATTGTGAGGGATGAGCTGATGGAAGAAGTAAAAGGACAGTTATTATATTGAGGTGGGATAGATTCCCTGAAGAGATGAGTTGTCAAGGATCACCTAAAGGTGGAAAGAGTATGAGATAAGTGGACAGATTGGGGTAGGGGGTTCCAAAGGATGGGAAATGCTCTGGAGAAGTCCTGGAGGTGAACATAGGAGGAAGTGACAAGGGAGCAAGAGAGGAGGAGGCCTTGAGAGGAGTGGAGAGAATGATTTGGGTGATATTTTGAGATGAGCTTGGTGATGTAGCTGCGGGCAGTGTTGGGTGTTAGGAGCATGTCTAATGTTGCTATGGGTGTTGTAACCTATCAGCTCCCTCTGGAGGTTTCTTGTGGCCCACACCCTCAGTCAGCTGCAGGCTAATCAGCTTGGCTATGCACCGCTTTCAGCCAAGGGGTTGGTTAGTGGTGCTTTATTTAAGCATCACAAGCCAAGGCCACCAAGTATCTTCTGCCCCCCAAAAAACTGCTTCTAACTTCCAGCAGCTTTTCTCTTTTGTGTACAGTGTACAGTGCATATGCCATACAAGGTACTACCCTGGGTTCTTTACAGCATTTGCAGTGTGCCGAGAATCGATGAAGGTGCCAAGGGCGATGCGAATAGGAAGTTACATCATCACAGGTAGTCCAATGGTTGGGCAGGACAACAGGGACCCGTAAGAAAGAGAGGAATATATGTCATCAGCGGTGGGCATAACAGCCGGAGGAGAGCACACTTGACTGGTAAGTGTGCCATGATGTACAAGTATGCTATGCATGTTTGCATATCATAGCAAGAGCCCACCGGGCACAGCAGATTTTTCTTTCACTTTAACTAAGGGTTAATAAGGGGTTAAAAATAAACATATTGTATTTATTTATTGTACTTGTAAGGTTTCTTTAACTGATGTTGTATGCACATCAAAGGTCACATCTTTTATCTTTATGTCAATGAAATAGTAAATACATTGTTACACTGTATTACTCAATTACACTTGCAGACCATCTGCAAGTGTAATCTTACACATGAATTTTGACAGTCACTCCTGCTGTGTAATTCATGGCATTTCTGGCTGTCATTTTGAAAGCTGGTAATTACCGGTAATAGTGGAGGGGGGAAAAGGCAGGGCAAGAAGAATAGAAGAATATAAGCTCTCACAGGCAGGGCCCTCCTTACCATCTTGTCTTGAACTGTATAGTAATTGTAATGTCTTCCTTATATTGCAAAGCGCTATGCAAACTGTTGGCGCTATATAAATCCTGTATAATAATAATAATATAGGAGATACATTCTAGAAACGTTGTTGAAGTTTTTTTTAGGACATATCCCCTATGTTTAAGGTGTGAAGTGGCTAACCAGTTGAGGTCATTGGGCATACAGTACAGATACACTTTCATTGTAGGTCAATTTTGAAATAAATTAGCCTTTGCAGGACAAAGCAATAGGTTGATTAAAGCAGTGGTTCTCAACCTGTGTAACCTCAGGACCCACGTTTGTCCTTGGTAATTAAGTTGTGACCCAAGTCGCACTGCAATGGAATGCCTGGCATTGCAGTACCAGGCATTTGGGTGCAGGCGATTGGACTGTGGGTGGGAGGTTCGTTTGGGGTGTCCTTCAAATTAATGGAAACGCAATGCACCTTGCACACCAGAACACGCAGTATGTGTGATTGCATGGTACAGTGCATTAATCACTTGGGTCTGTGTGCTTAACGCACTGTACTAGTGTGAACGGACCCACAAAAACACTGAGAGACAGACACACACAACCACAGACAGATTCTCACACACATATACAAACCACCCAGTCTCCCTACCATATGAGAACCTGAATTGATCCTCAGCCTGGTGTCCAGTGTGGGCTGCTGTGCTGTGACGGAGCTTCATCCATATGTGCATTGTTTGTACAGCTCCCTTGTAGAGGTGCCGGGAGCCAGAATGTGACGTCAGTGCAGTCCAGGCACCTCTACAGTGCACATGTGGGAGCTGTAAGGAATGCATGTGAGGTTGGAGCTCCCTTATGGACATACTTCCAGCCCACACCACCTCAAGCTGACACGCAGGGCCATATTTTGAATGGCTGCTCGGCACAAGAAATGATGGTGCTGTGCTAGGGGGAGGCTGAGGAGTCTCTCACTTAGAAGGCATGTCACGACCCAATGAACATTGGGGCACGGCCCACTTTTGGGTCACGACGCACTGGTTTAGAACCAAGGGATTAAAATGCTTCCCCACATGTTTGCTAGCAGCTAAAAGGTGCGTTATGTGCTCTTGGAATGCATCTTCTGCCCCCACGTTATCAGAGGTTGTGAGAGAACTCAAACTGTTATTCGATAGGGAAAGGATGGATGCGGAACTTCATAAGGACCTGAAAACAAAACATTTTTTCAGGCTCTGGCGATACTTTGCTGCTGCCACTTTTGAAAGGTCCGAACTGTCTCAAATAATGTCTCCTTTTATATATACCTCTCGGTATCTGAATGCTCAATTGTCTGGTGCTTTGGGAGCACTAGACGGCACATAATATGATGTTTACACACTCATCCACTGACTAGACACTCAGGGCAACCAGCACGACACTTACCTATTGTTTCATGATCTGAAACGGTTTTATATTATTTTGCACAAAAAACTTGAATAAAATGTATTTTAAAAACAAATGCTTTCTTACCATATACCAACACCCCTGTTACTTCCCCTTCTGCCCCATTCGCCTGCTTCATCAAACTGAAATACCCAGTAGTACTGGGTATAAGGGGATATATGACTCTTCCCTTCCTCGCACAATGCATTACTGTGTGCCTGAGTGGGCATCCACCAACCTCTGTGCAGTCACATGGGGCTGGTAAGGCATCC